GAAAAATAAATGTAAATGGATCTCGCATCACAAGATACATAGGCTATTTCCCAATATATTTGTTTTTATAGGCAAGTTTTGAAAAATGTAAACCCAAACTATCTGCATTTTGCTATAAACAAAACAGTATACAGGCATAGATACTGTAGGTACCCTGTAATTTTTAAAAAGCCAAAGCAATATGTATTGGTATGCCATTATTACAAAAATGTATGTTCTTGCTAAATTGCAATTTTTTTTTAATTATTCTTATTTATATTGATTGTTTTAATTCCTTCTATGTAAGGCACTTTGAATTTCCATTGTGTATGAAATGTGCTATATAAATAAACTTGCCTTGCCTAAGTTGCCTTGCCTTGCCACTGAAATGTAAGAGTAGTAGAATAAGTGAATTGTAAATTTGTCTTCTTTACATACTTTCATGAAATACTTTCCGGGCTGTAATCTAAAACGTTACCAAAAAAATATAAAATGCACAGTCATTTAGAAATAGGTTTACGGGTCTGTTTTTATGTTATTAATTATTATTCTAGCACTGACCATCCAGTTTTTAATACACACTTTATTAGAATTTAATTCATGAGGGTCCATGAGAGGGCCAAAGATCAACACTGGTGGATTCAGAAGGGCCCTGAATGCAAAGACATCCAGCACGTATATATGCAGACACTTCAATCACAAACAAGAGTCTTAAACAACTGATTTGTTTTGCACTCCCAAGAGAAAGGTTCAGTTAAATAACAATATGTACTAGGCCTACTCAAAAAGTGAAATGTCAAGAAATACTTTTTTATAAGCGTTTCATTATTACAACAGCAGTGTTCTTGAAGAATCAGTCTGAAATACTCTTTTGGATAGAATGATTTTGAATGCATTTCTGAACCAGCTGTAAAAGAAGGCGTACACTATGGGATTACATGTAGAATTATAGTAGCCGACCCACAGGAACAAGTCAAACAGCAGTGGAGGTACAGAATACCCAATGAACGGATCGATAAGATTACAAAGGAAAAAGGGAATCCAGAAAGTCAGAAATGCCCCGATGACGATGGCTAAAGTCTTAGTGGCTTTTCCCTCTTTTTTTAATTCAGAATTCACACTCTGAATGGCCTGCACCTGCCTTTTAGCCACATGTAAGATTTTTAGATACATGCAGAGCATGACAAAAGCGGGAACATAAAAACAGGCCAATGACATTATAGTTGCTGCCTCTCTGCTGTGAAACAATATGCAGGCTCCATCACAGTCAATGTTCTCATAGTAAAAATCTTCAATGCCAAGAAGATTAAGCTTCATGAAGATCATGCCAAACCCCAGAGCAGCAGAAACAGTCCAGCTGATAATAATCATAACTAGTGTGGCCAGTGACGTCATTTTACTGTGATAATGAAAGGGGTGACATATGGCATAATATCTGTCTAAAGAAATGATACAGAGGTTTAAAATTGACGCAGTGCACAAAGTCACATCAAGACTGCTGTGTATTTTACAGAACAAATCTCCCAGATACCAGCACGTCTCGATGGAGCGCAGCATGCTGGGAGGCATCACAACTCCTCCTACAAGCAGATCAGCCACGGCCAGTGACAGGATGAGGTAGTTAGTTGGTGTGTGAAGTTGCTTGAAATGAATGACCGTTATGATCACCAACAGGTTTCCTATGATTGTGACAATCGACGAGACACTAAAGAGAATGTAGAGTAATATTCGAGTTTCCAAAGGATAGACAAACTTCGGACAAGATGTGTTACTAAACTCATAACAAAGAAAAGGCTTTTCCAGGATTCCATATTGGCTGATGTTAATTTGTCCATCCATTTACACAATTGTGATTCACCGATCTGTAGTAAAGAAAAAGGTTAGCTTGCCATTTAAGCTTATTGTGTATTTCAAATATTACTGTTGTCCTATACTACTGTAATCATAATGACAGTTAAATTTAAAGTTTTCTAATTGCACACAAATAGCAAATATCAGTTTAGGCATATAAAAAAAGAGAGAGAGAAAATCTAAATTGTAAATTGGTTTTGATGAAAAATGATCACAGATTACTGAATATTTATCTGCAAACAAAGTTCAGTATAGCATGACTTCACCATCCAGACCCATATCTCTTTTTTTTTCAAGTGGCAACTGCACCGTATGGAGTCTGAGAGGCCAGATTTATAGTAAAGCAAATTCCCACTAGAACGTCCCTTTTGTCATCAATTGGATGGCCTTACAGTGCCTTGCGAAAGTATTCGGCCCCCTTGAACTTTTCGACCTTTTGCCACATTTCAGGCTTCAAACATAAAGATATAAAACTGGAAAAAATTTTAGAAGAATCAACAACAGGTGGGACACAATCATGAAGTGAAATGAAATTTATTGGATATTTCAAACTTTTTTAACAAATAAAAAACAAATAAATTGGGCAAGAAAAATGATTCAGCCCCCTTAAGTTAATACTTTGTAGTGCCACCTTTTGCTGCAATTACAGCTGTAAGTCACTAGGGCTATGTCTCTATCAGTTTTGCACATCGAGAGACTGAAATTTTTGCCTGTTCCTCTTTGCAAAACAGCCCGAGCTCAGTGAGGTTGGATGGAGCAGCAGTTTTCAGTTCTTTCCACATATTCTCGATTGGATTCAGATCTGGACTTTGACTTGGCCATTGTAACACCTGGATATGTTTGTGAACTATTCCATTGTAGATTTTGCTTTATGTTTTGGATCATTGTCTTGTTGGAAGACAAATCTCCACCCCAGTCCCAAAACTCCATCAGGTTTTCTTCTAGAATGGCTCCATCCATCTTTCCATCAATTTTAACCATCTTCCCCATCCCTGCTGAAGAAAAGCAGGCCCAAACCATGATGCTGCCACCACCATGTTTGACAGTGGTGATGGTGTGTTGAGGGTCATGAGCTGTGTTGCTTTTACGCCAAACATAACATTTTGCATTGTTGCCAAAAATTTCGAGCACCTTCTTCCACATGTTTGGTGTGTCTCCCAGGTGACTTGTGGCAAACTTTACATGACACTTTTTATGGATATCTTTAAGAAATGGCTTTTTTCTCGCCAGTCTTCAATTAAGGCCAGATTTGTGCAGTATAAGACTGATTGTTGAACTATGGACAGAGTCTCCCACCTCAACTGTAGATCTCTGCAGTTCATCCAGAGTGATCATGGGTAGGGTTGGGTATCGAGAATCGAGTATCGATTGGAACCGGGACTAATTTTTCATTTTTCCCGGAATCGTTCAAAAGTTAAAATTTCGATTCCTAGTTTCGATATTCACAGTCCGCCGAGCGGAAGAAGAAACCGCTGAACAACACCAACGAAGAAGCGTCTACCGGAAGTGTTGGCATAACCACGCGAGTCGAACAAGAGTAGCTTACGTCTGTGGTCCAAAGTGTGGCTTCACTTTTCTAAAAATAACGAAATCTCGGCAAAATGCTAAATTTGTGACAAAAGGAGTATTTGTGACAGAAGGAGTATTTTTTGACCCTGCCTCTTAAAAGAATCGGAATTGAGAAGCGTTAGGAACCGGAATCGAAACAAGGAATCGGAATCGGAATCAGAATCGTTCAAATTCGAACGATACCCAACCCTAATCATGGGCCTCTTGGCTGCATCTCTGATCAGTCTTCTCCTTGTATGAGCTGGAAGTTTAGAGAAACGGCCGTGTCTTTAAACGGACCTCTGAGACTATCACAAAGCAGGTGCATTTATACGGAGACTTTATTACACACAGGTGGATTCTATTTATCATTATTAGGTCAACATTGGATCATTCAGAGATCCTCACTAAACTTCTGGAGAGAGTTTGCTGCACTGAAAGTAAAGGGGCTGAACGGCCTCACTTGCCATGACAAGACAGGCAGAGAGTTCAAAGGTGACCTCTGAGGACGTTTGGACACCTCCGCCTCAGGCAAAACTAGATCAGCTGCTGCCACTTCGGTAGAAGCTGAATCGTACACGGCGTAGACACACAGAATGGCAGTTGCCATCTCCGGCAATCAATCGGTTGCAATCAGACTGGAAAGTGCTGGTGGTGGGCCAAGTTCTGTATTAGGAGAAGGCCTTTCACTACCCCCCTCCTCTACCACTCCTGCAGTGAATATATTTAATATATTTAGACTATAATTAATCTCCCCTCCAGGGAGCCATGATTGAATGGGTTAAAAATTCCCGTTACGTTTTTCTGATGAAACTGCAGTAACTGATCGACCGAGTCAATAATAGGCCTGGCTCTCATTCGGCCGTATGCAAGTCCTCTGTTATGAATACCACATACAAGTGTGTGTGTGTGTATTAATATTCATAAGCTCATTGAATTTTATGTTATTAAATGAATTTTGAGTTTTTCAACGTTTAAAATAAAATGAGAAAAGGATTAAAAAGCACTGTATTGTATATAATTTGGATATCTTTCATTGTATTTTCTACAACAAGAGGAGCCTTCACTTGCTGAGACTACATCTTCCTGTGTTTTTTAGGAAGTTGTATTGTCTTTGATATTAAAAAAAGTGGGTTTTTAGGATAAAATTCTAATCTTGACCATCAACAACAACACAAAAAATGTATTGTGTAATATTGAGAATATAGTATGTGATTTATTTGACATCAAAATATTCAGAATTACTTGAGAAATACACAACTGAAAATGTATACATGTAATGGATGGAGCATGATACGTGATGCACTTTTACATTAGTTCACATTTGTCATGAAATGTTATAAATCATTATATAGCCTACATTTAACCTGCACAGTTTTGATGTAGTGGCTCAGTGAGGGAAAAAAAAATAATAATGCAATACCTAAATTCTGATCTCACATTCATTTTTTTATTTATATTTATATATATATATTTTTTTTAATTTAAAAACTCAAATTCTCAGGTTATAAATAATGCATGTGTGATCTGGTTATTTGGCATCATGGTGGTGTAATTATTTGTAGTTAAATAGCGTGGACGCATAAAACATATCCAGGATATTTTGGTTTATATACATTTATATATTATTTACAAAATAATTGTCATTGTCTTTCCATCAAGTCAAGTTGCGAAGAATTAACTTGAAATATTTTGGCCAAAAGAATAATTCTTAGAGATTTTCTAAACCATCTATAAAAGAATGCATACACAAAAGGGTTACATAGAGAATTAAAATATCCAATCCACAACAAAACATCAAAAACAGCCGGTGATATTGTGTGATCAAGATACGGATTTACTAGATTACTGAAGAAAAATGGTGAAACGCACACAAAAAATACCCCCATGATGATTGCCAGTGTTTTTGTTGCCTTCCCCTCAGTTTTATTCATAGACATGCTGGTTTTCTTGCCCACGTGTGATGAATGCTGTATAGACTTTGATTGTCTTCGTGCAACAAGGAGAATTTTTAGATATATGCAGACAGCAATTATTGCAGGAAGTCCAAAAGCAAGAAATGAGGAAATGGTGCTGGCTGCTCTGGTTTGAAAAATAACGCATGATCCCTTACAAGCTATATTATCAAAATAAAACTCCTCTGAACCCAAAATGTTGAGCTCTAGAAATACCATAGAAAATCCAACAAAAGCTGCCAGACACCAGCATAGGGAAATCATAATGAGGGAAACGGGCGGTGTGATTTTATTCCGGTACTGAAGCGGGTGACACACAGCATAATAGCGATCGATAGAGATGAAAGATATGTGCAAGAGAGATGTGATGCATAACATAATATCAGCGCTACTGTGTATTTTACAGAACGTGTCTCCCAAGTACCAGCAAGTCTCAACAGAGCGCAGGATGCTGGGAGGCATCACAAAGCCTCCGATGAGCAGGTCGGCCACAGCCAGTGACAGGAGGAGGTAGTTTGTTGGCGTGTGCAGCTGCTTGAAATGAATGATGGCAATGATGACCAGCAGGTTTCCACATACTGTGATAAGCGCTAAGGCACTGAAGAACAAATAGAACAAAATCTGAATCTCAGACGGGTAGACAAATTTAACACATGAGTTGTTGAACGACTCAAAGCAGAGAACAGGCCCGTAATCAATCCCAGTCTCATCAATCCCATATCCAGGCATGGTCTGTTTAAACACAAAAGAAAACATACATTTATTTATAAGCCAACAATGACATGTTTTTCTTATCATTATCATAACAGCAAAGTGATTCCCCCCCCTAATAAAATACCACTAACAATTATTACATTAGATTTTAAAGCTCTAACCACACAAAAACATGATCAGCCCTGCAGCTTGAACAGAAATCATACCATTAGATATTCATGACAAAGACCTTACTTGTCCATGCAAGAGCGAACGTGCCGAAAGCATATATTTATATCTCTCACCCCTCCTGCTTTGTATCACACACTGTCACTACATCCTTCACTTGTCAACAACAGAGAACTTTTCCCATGAGATTTCCCTTTAATTCGAGTTGCTGAGTCTGTTAATCTCTTAATCTTTTTTCCCTATAACATATTTTTGTCATCATATATTAGGGTTTAAACACTCAAAATTCATCCTGTAAAACTGAACATGTTTCTTTAACATGTACACTTACCTAAAGGATTATTAGGAACACCTGTTCAATTTCTCATAAATGCAATTATCTAATCAACCAATCACATGGCAGTTGCTTCAATGCATTTAGGGGTGTGGTCCTGGTCAAGACAATCTCCTGAACTCCAAACTGAATGTCAGAATGGGAAAGAAAGGTGATTTAAGCAATTTTGAGCGTGGCATGGTTGATGGTGCCAGGCGAGTAATTTACAATCTGCTCGGTTACTGGGATTTTCTAGGGTTTACAAAGAACAGTGTGAAAGGGGAAAGACATCCAGTATGGGGCAGTCCTGTGGGCGAAACGCCTTGTTGATGCGAGAGGTCAGAGGAGAATGGGCCGACTGATTCAAGCTGATAGAAGAGCAACTTTGACTGAAATAACCACTCGTTACAACCGAGGTATGCAGCAAAGCATTTGTGAAGCCACAACACACACAACCTTGAGGCGGATGGGCTACAACAGCAGAAGACCCCACCGGGTACCACTCATCTCCTCTACAAATAGGAAAAAGAGCCTACAATTTACATGAGAGAGTTGAAGACTGGAAAAATGTTGCCTGGTCTGATGAGTCTCGATTTCTGTTGAGACATTCAGATGGTGGAGTCAGTGAGAGTTTGGCGTACACTGTTAGACCTTACCAGGTTTTTTACAGTAAAATACTGGCAACACTGTTGCCAGTAATTTACTGTAAAAATGCACTAAAACTAATAAGTTGATTCGTTTTAGTGCATTTTTACAGTAAATTACTGGCAACAGTGTTGCCAGTATTTTACTGTAAAAAACCTGGTAAGGTCTAACAGTGTAAACAGAATGAGAACATGGATCATCATACCTTGTTACCACTGTGCAGGCTGGTGGCAGGGGTGTAATGGTGTGGGGGATGTTTTCTTGGCACACTTTAGGCCCCTTAATGCCAATTGGGCATCGTTTAAATGCCACGGCCTACCTGAGAATTATTTCTGACCATGTCCATCCCTTTATGGCCATGTACACATCCTCTGATGGCTACTTCCAGCAGGATAATGCACCATGTCACAAAGCTCGAATCATTTCAAATTGGTTTCTTGAACATGACAGTGAGTTGACTGTACTGAAATGGCCCCACAGTCACCAGATCTCAACCCAATAGAGCATCTTTGGGATGTGGTGGAACGGGAGCTTCGTGCCCTGGATGTGCATCCCACAAATCTCCATCAACTGCAAGATGCTATCCTATCAATATGGACCAACATTTCTAAAACATGCTTGTTAAATCAATGCCACGTAGAATTAAGGCAGTTCTGAAGGCGAAAGGGGGTCAAACAAAGTATTAGTATGGTGTTCCTAATAATCCTAATAGAGAAGAAGTTTTATTTATATAGCGCCTTTCCAGGGCTCAAGGGCGTTTACATGGTACATTTATGAAACACTAACACGCAACTTGATGGATGGACAATAAACCAAGTTCAGTTGATGTGAGAGAGCGTGCAGGACAGTAGGTCATGGGTTTACCAGGCTCACTCTCACCACTACTCAAAGAACCCAGTCACCAGATTTCTAAATCACTGGAATCACTCGTTTACTCACTCGTTTAATCAGCCATCACATAAGCACATGTATGGCCTTGAACTAGAACATGGACCCTAATTAGCGATCTCTTATTGAACTCCGATTCCTGTGTATTTCTCAATAAATGTCTAAACATGTCTTTGTCATGACAACTTGACATTACTAAGACAACACAACCTGTCATAAACATGACATAGCAGATGAATTATTAAACTTAAAGGGATACTCCACTTTTTTTGGAAATAGGCTCATTTTACAACTCCCTCATGAGTTAAACAGTTGAGTTTTACCGTTTTCGAATTCACTTAGACGATTTTCTGATATTTAGAAGAATATCAGTAACCACACAGTTTCTGGTCTCATTGACTTCCATAGTAGGAAAAAATATATACTATGGTAGTCAATGAGACCAGAAACTACCTGGTTAGTTTCTTCTAAATATCAGAAAATCGGCTGAATGGATTCGAAAACGGTAAAAACCCGACTGTTTAACTCTGGGGAAGTTGTAAAATGAGCCTATTTCCAAAAAAAGTGGAGTATTCCTTTAAGAAACCACCTAGCTTTATTGGTTAACATTACATTAAACTGTCATGTGGGTGGCTTTGACATTGCCTGTCATGAAGCCATTATACGTTTTTAATGACAAATACCACAGTAGTTGAGGTCACGAAAAATATTCATGACACAGTGATAATATCCTCATGATGTCAAAGCCACCCACATGACAGTTTAACTTACTTTTATGTCAAGTTTGTCATGACAAAGACACTGACAGGTTATGGCTTATGTCAAGATGATCGGCAGTGACACAGTGTTGCTTATTTGAAAAATGAACTATTGTAAATTTAAAATGAATGCATTACTTGAAAAACGAATCTAATTTGTTGATCTCTGACTAACTCATGCTTCATTTAAAAATGTTTCATTAGAACAGCAGTTTACTACAGTATGCTCAAAAGTCCTAAGCAAATTTTGATTCCTCCAGTGAAACTGACGTCATACCCTGTGTAATTTCTGTCTCTATAGAAATTCTGTGGAAATAACTAGGTTCGTTTGTTTTCTGGATCTAAAAAAGATTTGTGAGCAGAGGGACTTATTAAATGTGTTAAACATGTTTGCGAGATGTTCTGCTGTTTAGTGGCATATTTACACCTGTCCTCATTAAACTAAGAGAATCACACTTCATTCTGATTGATCCCTACAGGAGTGAAAACATTGAGTTGCATCATTGTGCTAATTAGATAATGCAGTCAACAAACAACCAAGATAGTGAAGCTATAAGAAAAGTTAATTTATGGAATTAAAACAAGATAAATTAACATATGAATAAAAAAATAATGAAATGGCCTTTTAATTTGGTGTTCCTGTTGTGTTTTTGTATAAAACACGTGTGTCTATAATTGAACATAATGCTAAGGGCAAGAATTAGGCCCAGGACATACACTGTAAAAAATATTGTTGGTTTAACTTTATAAAGTAAGTTACCTGGTTGCCTTGAAATTTTAAGTTGATTGAACTAATAAGTTATCTGAACTAAATAAATTTTACAAAAGAAAAAATGTTGTGTTTACAGTGTAGGGTCAAATTCAATAAAAAATAGTATTTTCCTCTGCTCCAAAGCCTAGTGACGAAACTTTATTTTATTTTTTAATACTCTTTTCAGTGTTGAACAAACTATAATGGACACTTCATCCAACATCCTGGATATATTTTACTGAGCACATCGCAATGCATTATGGGATTGTAAATGAGAAAGTGATGGTTCACCCAAAAATTAAAATTCTCTCAGTAATTACTCACCAAATTTTGCATTTTTTAATCTTTGAGGTCCATGTTGTGTGCTTAAAGCAACACAAACAGGTAAATAAAGTATCAGGACACATTAAATTGATCAAAAGTGACAGTAAAGATGTGTATTGTATTATATATTGATATAATATTATAATATTTAAAATAAAATAAAAATTGTATTTCAAATAAATGCTGTTCTTTTGAGTAAAAAAGAAGAGTTTTCAAATTTCCGCAAAAATATTAAGCATTTGGTCAAATAAATGCAGCCTTAGTGAGACTTCTTTCAAAAGCATAAAAAATTCTTCAAACTCCAATCATCTGAATGGTAGTGTATGTGCCAAGATAACGAATTATTAAGCTGAAATAATGCAAACTGTCTGCCTCGTCATGTAGGAGGGTCATATAGATGATAAAGACTATTTAAGGGCCTCTTCTCACACTGTAAAAGTTATTAAATATCTGTTGTCCAACTAAGACAGAATTGAATTCTTGTTTTCTGAGACAGGCAGGATGGATTTATCGTCACAAGAATACGATCTTACTGAGTTTTGTTTTCCTGCAGTGAACAACTCTTGTCTTAAAGGCACACACCTTGTGTCCACTCAGACTGTGTTGTATCTCATATTGGTGTTGGCGATGACTGTGACTATTCTTGGAAATTCGGTGGTCATCATCTCCATAGCGCACTTCAAACAGCTCCAGACTCCCACTAATATCCTGGTGATGTCTCTGGCTCTCGCGGACCTGCTGCTCGGACTGGTGGTCATGCCTTTCAGTATGATCCGTTCTGCCGATGGTTGCTGGTACTATGGAGATGCTTTCTGTTTGCTCCACTCCACTTTTGACTTGTTTCTCACATCTGTGTCTATTTTTCATCTCATTTTTATTGCTATTGATCGACATCAGGCTGTGTGTTATCCACTTCAATACCCTAGGAGAATAACCATATCTGTTGCATGGGTCATGGTGCTGATAAGTTGGAGCATGGCTGCATTATATTCATATGGTTTGGTGTACTCAAAAGCTAATGTGGAAGGACTGGAGGAATTTATTGCATCCACATACTGTTTGGGAAGTTGCACTCTGTTTTTCAATGCATTGTGGGGGGCTTTAGACACATTAATAGGTTTTTTCTTGCCCTGTTCTGTCATGGTTGGACTGTATGCAAGAATTTTTG